CTGTGCTTTACCACAGTTAGGCTCCTACCCTTCCACAGACACTGGGGAGAAAGGGGTGCTATTTTCCTCAATATTTATATTTCTAAGACATGGATCCAGTCCTAAGGGCTGGCCAGTTGCTCAGCTGGTTAGAGCAGCAGTGTTGATAACACCAAGGTCAAGAGTTCAGATCCCCATACCAGCCAGTTGCACAAAAAAGAAAGAAAAGAAAAGAAAAACGTCCTGGGACGTAAAGCTGGCAGGAGGCTTATTTAACTTTTAAAAAGATTTGCATACATTTCCAAGAGACAGAGACTTACAATAAGTTTTCTAAAGTAAATGCTTTAAGAAAAGGGGAGGGAGAGTCTCTATATAAATTTTCAACAGTAAGAATTAATTTTTTTTCTTTTTCAATTTGAATTTACCTTTATGCTGGTAATGTTCTATTTTTTGATTTGGGACTAGTTTAGACAGGTATGTTTACCTGTGAAAATTTGAGTTTTTCTGAGTGTAATGCTGTTAAATTAAAAAGACAAGGGAAAGAATGTTGGTAAAAACAAACAAACAAGCAAAAAAAACCCAGACTTATGCACCACATTAGTTTTGAAATGAGGAAGTGACACGGTCAGGTCTGAGTTTCAGGAAGATCCTTCTAGTATCCACGAGGGAGATGGATTGAGGGAAACAAAGCCCTGGGTAGGAGGCTGATGCGATGATCAAGAGGAGAGTGATGAGGCTGGAGATGAAGAGGAGAGGCGGTCTGGTGTGAGATCTGGAAAGTTCCGATGGCCCTCGGTGTGAGATCTGGAAAGTTCCGATGGCCCTCTGTATACCTGGGTTCTGCATCTGCAGATTCAACCAACTGTGAATTGAAAATATTCAGAAAAAACAACAACAATAAAAATAATACAAATAAAAAACAATACAATATAACAACTATTTAAATAACGTTTACATTGTACTAGGTACTAGAAGTATCCTAAAGGTGATTTAAAGTATATGGGAGGATGTGCATAGGTTATTTGCATGTAGGTTATAAGCAAATAATACACCATTTCACATTAGAGACTTGAGCATCTGCAATTCTGGTATCCTTGGGTGGTCTTGGAACCAATCCCCCATGAACACGGAGGGATGACTGTACAAGGGTCAGACAGACATGGTTATGTTTTGGATGTGAGGAGTGAGAGAGCTAAAAAAAATTTATTAATTATTCATCTGGGATAGTGGAGGAAGATGGAGGCAGCCAACAACAGCAGAGGGTGGAGACCGGCATCTCCCTCTAGGAGGCATGTGAAGATGGGATTCGGAAATGGCAGGAATTTCTAGGACAGAAAGGGAATGCCATTGCTGTAAGTCTTCTTCATTGGTTCTCTCCAGTTAAGCCTTTCCCAGCTACCGCCCCTCCCAAGAAACTGAGGAGAAACAGTTGGAACTTTTGGAAATGTGCCTACATGATGATGACCTTCTTATTTGTGTCCTACAATAAAGGAGACTGGGTAAGAAGGAGGCAGCACTCCAGGGTGCTTTTTTACCCAAGAAGGGAAGAGGGAAAAGGGAGGAGGGACAAAGTCAGAGGAAGGAGCAAGAGAAGTGGGTATAGGAGGAGAGAAAAAGGGAGCCTAGGAAGTACGAAGCATGTGAAGGCAGGAGAGGTCTAGAGCCCTTTCTGTAAAACATTCCCTTTCTCTCCCTCTCTCTGATTCTCTCTCCTCCCTTCCTCCCTTCCCTTCCTGCCCTCTTCCTTCCTTCCTTCCTTCCTTCCTTCCTTCCTTCCTTCCTTCCTCCATCCCTCCCTCCCCTAGGCTGGGATAAAAGCCATTCCCTTCTGCACTTAACACAGCCCCAGAATTTTCTATGTAATACTATCGCTCATTCTCTCTCTCTCCCCATCTTTTTCTCTCTCTCTCTTCCTCATATAAAGGAGGTTCTTAAAGACCAAGTTTTTTGCTGGTTGCTGGCAACTCTGATGAATAAGCTACTTTCGAGCAGGTCATAATTTTGTAAGGCAGACAGAGAACAAAAGAGACGACCAGATCACAGGGGCCTAGTATTTCTTAGGAACCTCTGGGGCTGTGTTAGCACAGGAGGTGGTGGCTTTCACTCTAGCTTAGGGGAAGGCTGGGCTCATGGAAGTCTTCCTGAAGGAGATGACACTTCCACTCTGTCTTAAGGATAGGTTGCAATGAGCCTATTGAAGAGAGGAGGAAGGGAAAAGCACTCCAGGAAAAGGAAATGTCATGTGAAAAGGCTCAGAGATATGACATAGGGAAAGATTCAAGGAATGGCAAGTAGTCATTCATTCATTTCCTCAAACATTTATGTGTGTAGCAGGCCCTATGCTAGATGTTGGGGAATCAGAGGACAACAAAACCCACAAGGCCCCTGAGCCCATGGGGCTCACATGATAGGGGCAGGACAGGAAGGAAATGAGCAGAAACCTCCAAAAAAAGGAACTAAATCAGGATGACACAGAGCATGTGAGGAAGTGGGCTGCTTTACCTGGGGGAGTGATATCTGGATGGAGACATGAGTGGGTAGAAGGAGACTGCCTTGAGAACCGCTTGGGGACAACTATTATGAGCAAAGCAAACATGAAAGGCAGACTCCAAGGCAGAAAAGGCACCATGCACCTTACAGAAATAAAGGAAATCTATGTGATCTGAGAGGGACAGAGAGGGTCCAGATCAAGCAGATAATGGCTAGAAGGAAGCATTGATTCTATGTTCGGTGGAGATTTTGCCAAGATCTGACTTGGGTTATGAAAGAATTACTCCAGGTGACATGTGTGGAGAGCCAGTTGGAATCAGGGCATGAGTGGGAACAGACAGCCTGAGAGAAGGAGG